GGATGCCATTCATTGCTTGAGGGAAGAGGAGGAAGAGGTATGGCACGGGGAGGGGACAGCTGAGCTCCGTCCCCAAAGAGAGGCAGTTCAGCCAGCCCTAAGGGCACCTGTGCTCCCTCTCAGCTGTCCCCTTTGCTGCCACAGGCTGCAGTGGGGTCAGGCTGCATGAGGGCCCGGCAGGTCTGACTGTGTGTTTTCCTAGGGGACTGCCGCATGGCCAATGCTGAGGAGAAGCTGATAGACGACCTTCTGAACAAAACCCGTTACAACTACCTGATCCGCCCAGCCTCCAGCTCCTCACAGCTCATCTCCATCAAGCTGCAGCTCTCCCTGGCCCAGCTCATCAGCGTGGTACGTGCAGAGGGCAGCCGTGGCTCAGGCTCAGGTGGAGAAGCTGCTCATGCCCAAGCCCTAAGCAATCATTGGCCAGAAAAATGAAATGACTAGAGTTGATTTAGACTTACCGATACATGTCAGGGAGGCTGCAGAAGGGTCCACGAAGTTCATAGATGTCCAATATTTAATGAAGTCGTGGTTTTGTTATAACGAAGAAATGAGGGTGGGAGCGAGATGGCCACTGGGTAGGCAGCCAGAGGGCCTGCCATCCACCCTGCTCAGCTGGGTCTCCTGCCATCCACCCTGCTCAGCTGGGTCTCCGGCAGAACCATAAGCTTCTCCTCCTTGTCCTCACAGCCCCACCCTCTTCTCTCCCACAGCTTGCTCAACAGGTGACTTGCATGCTCCCTACTTGTTGGGGGAAATAAGAACCAGACTCGGGAAACTGATGGGTACAGAGGCCCAGCTGTGGGGGCAGGACCAGAGGCAGTGCAGTGCCGACTGAGCCAGGCAGGTGGGGGTCTGGACGGCAGGCGTGGATGGAAAGGAGGCGTGGATGGTGGCATTCACAGGGACCATTGTCAGGTTCTTCACATGTGGGTGTGGGGCAGAGTCAGCGTGCTGAGGGAGGAAGTGCCTGAGAATTTCCCTTCTCTCTGCTGCCTCTGAGTTGGAGATGCCAGAGGGAACCATGGCCCATTGTAAACCTTCCCACGTCCCCACCCACAGGGTTAGAACCCCATTCCTGGAAGCAGCTCTGGGGGCACATTCACAAGAGGAGAGTGCACGGCGCCTCGTCCAGCCAGGGGAAGGATATCACCAAGGGGGCAGACCCTCCTCTGGCCAGGTGGCTGCCTTCTGAAATGCCAGAATCTCTCTGGCACGGCTGGCCCTGACACACTCAGCCTGTCAAACCTACAGCCCTCAAGAAGACTTTGGCCAAATTAATGACTGGCTCCATCTCCTGGGAGGATGCATAGACCCAGGATGGGGAGGGCTGGAGAGCCATGTACTCTCTGCCCCTCCTCCTCCCCAGTCAAATCGGAAGAAAGGAGAGAGGGCTTTCAGCCAGACTCACCCAGGCTGGTGTCTGAGTGTGACTGTCCAGCCCAGGGCTTCTTGCTTAACGGGGCAAGCCCAGCTGCTGCGGTGCGGCTGCTGCCCCTAGTGAGGGTGAAGGAACAGGAGGCTCGGCTGCACGCCCAAGATCAGGCTGCCTGGTCAGATCTGCTCTGCAGGCCCTGTAGGGTGATAAAGGAGGAGGGGATGCAGCCGCCAGCCGTCACCCATGCAAGTCATATTTCTGAAAGCTTGTGTATACAGTAAATATTAGGTTGTAGGCTGCCAGGACAGGAGGGGATATTGTCCTCCTATTTTTCAGGATTTATTTCTTTCTTTTTCTTTCTTTAAGGAGGGAGGGTTATAGATACAAGCAGTTTAAAGATGGAAATTTTTAAGGAGCAGGTAGGGATTTAGTGCCGGGCAAGGCAAGCAGGCTTGTCAAAGCACCTCTTTTGTAATCGACTCCTGAGTCTGGCAAGCCAAGCACTCCCTTGCCAGCAACCCCACCCCCACCTCTCTAGGCCCCCTTATTCCCTGACCCTCCCACCTGCTCCCCTGCCCCAACACTGTCTCCTCTGCTCACTCACTCTCATCTGGTTTTTTGTTTGTTTGTTTTGTTTTTTTTAGACGGAGTCTCGCTCCTGTTACCCAGGCTGGAGTGCAATGGCGCGATCTCGGCTCACCGCAACCTCCGCCTCCTGGGTTCAGGCAATTCTCCTGCCTCAGCCTTCTGAGTAGCTGGGATTACAGGCACGCGCCACCGTGCCCAGCTGATTTTTTGTATTTTTAGTAGAGACGGGGTTTCACCATTTTGACCAGGATGGTCTCGATCTTTTGACCTCATGATCCACCCTCCTCGGCCTCCCAAAGTGCTGGGATTACAGGCGTGAGCCACCGCGCCCGGCCTCACTCTCATCTCTTTTCCTGCTCAGGGGCTTGCCTGTTTCCATGTCCTTGACCCTCCTCTGAGTCTCCCTCTTTCCAAGTCATCTCCCCTACACTTGACTAGTCTGGAAGATACCAGAGAACACAAGCTCAAGTCCCTGAGCCTCACCTTTACTCCCAGACCTGTGAGGGAGATGATACAAAGTCCCAAACACCACTTGGAAAGAGACTGGGGGTATGCAGGGAGGGAGATTTGAAGCTGTGGAGGCTCAGGGTGTAGGTTTAAATGCAAATATAGCCAGGTGCAGTTATATTTGCATTAAAAAAAATTAGCTGGGCATGGTGGCACGTGCGTGTAATTCCAGCTACCCAGGAGGCTGAGGCAGGAGAATCGCTTGAACCCAGGAGGCAGAGGTTGCAGTGAGCCAAGATTGCACCATTGCACTCCAGCCCGGGTGACAGAGTGAGACTCCATCTTAAAAATAAATAAATAAATAAATAAATAAATAAATAAATAAATAAAATATCATAACTATATTAAATGTAAGTGGCCTAAATACTCTAATCAAAATGAGACAATTGGCATGCATCCTTCTTCTCCCTTCTCCCTCCCCACCAACAGCCTGGAATGTGGAATTTATGGTTGTAGCTCCAATAGTTATTTTGGTCCATTCTTATGAGGGCCACACTCCAGGTATGCTGGAGAAGAAAGTTGGAAAGAGTCTGCATTCCTACCAGAACTTTGTAGAGCAGAACTACCATGTATGTCTAAAGTGTCAGCGTGAGAGGGACATGAATCTCTACTTTATTTAAGTCTGTGTTACTCTGGATCACTGTTACTGGCAGCTGAACCTTACGTTACTGATAATCCTATCTAGTTGTAGGTTCCTTGAGGAAGTGACTCCTAAACTGAGATCAGTGTGCTGCAGGTTATCTTGATGAAGAGGAGGCAGCAAAAATAGTACAGACTGAGACCACAAGACATATCCAAAACACTAAAGAAGGCCAGGGGCTGTGGGACAGAACAAAGGGACACGGGAGATGAAGTGAGGCTGGGAAGCCTGGCAAGGCCCCGAAGACCCTGTGAAGGAGTGAGATTTTTATTCTGTAAGTGAAGGAAGCCAAGGAAGTAATCTAAACAGGGATAAAAATGACAGGAATTTTGGAAGGTTTATTCTGGCTGCATAGGAACAACAGATGTGTGTGTGCGGTGATGGTGGTGGTGTACAGATGAACATGGACCAGTTAGGACAGTATTACAGGGTCTAGGTGAGGCGTGGATGATGTGGCCTGGAATGATGATAGGATTTATGTGTTTGTACAGAAAATATTTATGGAGTATCCAACATGTCACATACTCTTTTAGCTGCCTTATTTTCTCATAGCCATTAGATTCTAGTGGGAGGTGGCAGATAATACACAGATGGATAGATGGTGTTTAGAGGTCATAGATGCTATGAAACAAAATGAGACTGGGTGAGGGGCTCGCACCTGTAATGCCAACACTTTGGGAGGCTGAGGTGAGTGGATCACTTCAGCTCAGGAACTTGAGACCAGCCTGGGCATCGTGATGAAACCCCTTCCCTACAAAAAAATTTTAAAAATTAAACCAGGTATGGTGGCCTGTGCCTGTGGTCCCAGCTTCTCAGGAGGCTGAGGTGGGAGGACCACCGGAAGGTAGAGATTTCAGTGAGCAAAGATCACGCCACTGCCATCCAGCCTGGGTGACAGAGTGAGACTCTGTCTCAAGAAAATAAACAAAAAATCACAAGAAAGAACAACAAGGCAGGGCAGGGACAGAGGGGGTATTTTATGCAGGCCAGGGAAGACTTCTGTGATGATAGGATGACATTTCTGATAGCAGAAGAGCGTGTGGAAGCATCCTGGTGGGTTTCCAGGAAAGGGAACAGTGTGTGCCGGAGCCGAGAGACAGCGTGGTGGAAGTGGAATGAGCAAATGGCAGCACTGAGATTAGAGGTCAGGGAGCTGATGGGGTGAGGGGTGGTGGGGAGGCAGGTCACTAGGGCCTTGTAGACTCTAAGCAGAACTTTGGCTTTTCCTTTGGATGAGATGAGGCAGCAGAGCAACTAGTCAAAGGCATTGAGATTTAAGGGGATCACCCTGGCTACGTGTAGAGAAGAGACCAAAGGCAGGAAAGGACAGAGCAGGAAGACCAGTGACCGGGCCACGGCAGTAGTCCAGGTGACAGAGGATGGTGGCGGCGGAGAGAAGCAGACACAAATGAGATGCTTTAGGAGATACGATTTACAAGACTTATTGATGGATCGGAGAGCAGAGTGTCAGAGACAACGTCCACGTTTCTGGCTTGTGGAACTGGATGGCTAGGGGTGCCGTTCACTGAGGCAATGAAGCCAGAGGAGGACCAGGTTTTGGGAAGATCATGAGCTTTTTCTCAAACGTGCTGGGTGCGACATACCTCTGAGCCATCCAAGAGATGTTTGGGCAACCGTTGGTCACAAGGGCCTGGAGCTCACAGCCTTTTGCACAATAAAGTGAAATCTGTTTGTAAGGCTCCTTCTTCCTGGTGACCTGATAGCCCTGTTTCCTTCCCCAGAATGAGCGAGAGCAGATCATGACCACCAATGTCTGGCTGAAACAGGTAAGTGCCCTGCAGGGCCCCTAGCCCGAGAGATGTCTTCTCTAGGGCTGCCCTTTGGTGGCAGTGGACCTGCAAGTGACAGGGCCTTGCCTGTCTGTCCAGGAATGGACTGACTACCACCTGACCTGGAACAGCTCCCGCTATGAGGGTGTGAACATCCTGAGGATCCCTGCAAAGCGCCTCTGGTTGCCCGACATCGTCCTTTACAACAAGTGAGTGGCGGGGTTGGCTGAGGCCTGGGGACAGCCAGGCCAGGGCAGCAGGCCCAGCCCTAAGAGTCATCCAGGCCTGAGTCCAACTGTGGGCCCCATCTCTGCTTTACCCAGCCTTCCAGGCCATCAAGCTAAAAGAGAAACAGAGGTGAGCAGAACCAGAGCCCTCCGTTACAGATGGGGAGTCTGAGGCTGGCGGGAAGGGGCCTTGTCTAATTCACTGAAGCACAGCCGGGACCACAGCAATGACCCGACCTCCAGCCCAGCACCCTTTTTGTGCTCCACACTATCCTTTTGAGCCTTTGTTGTTTTGCCAATGTTGGATGTCGGTAGCACTGACTTACTATGCATAAATATCTTAGGCAGGTGGAGGAAGCCAAAGAGATTCTCCCTGACTTACGATTATACCAGTAGCGTGAAATGGCTAAGAGTGTGTGGTCTGGCTGGGCGTGGTGGTTCATGCCTGTAATCCCAGTACTTTGGGAGGCTGAGGTGGGTGGATCACGAGGTCAGGAGTTTGAGACCAGCCTGGCCAGTATGGTGAAACCCCATCTCTACTAAAAATACAAAAATTAGCTGGATGTAGTGGTACATGCCTGTAGTCCCAGCTACTTGGGAGGCTGAGGCAGGAGAACTGCTTGAACCTGGGAGGCGGAGGTTGCAGTGAGCCAAGATCGTGCCACTGCACTCCAGCCTGGTGACAGAGCGAGACTCCATCTCAAAAAAGAAAAAGTACTGTCTGGGGACAGACCTGAGTTCAAAACCCAACTGTCCTGCTTACACATTTTCTGACCTTGAAGAAGTCATTTAACCTCTCTGAGCCTTGGCTTTCCCATCTGTAGAATGGGGATAACAATAAAACCTACCTCACTGGACTAGTGAGAGGCTTAAATGAGCGATTCCATGGAAAGCCGTAAGAGTGTCTGATGGTAGGGCTCTCTCCACCACATAGTTGCGAACAAAGGCAGGCCCCTTTCCATGAGGGCCCGGGGGATTGGAAGGATGACTAGTGGGAAAAATTCCCAAAGGGCTCTTCAGTGAGTTCTGAGGCCAGGCCAGGCCTTGTGTATGGGTTTCACGATGTTGTCCATGCCCTGCCCCTGCCCAGCACTGACGGGACCTACGAGGTGTCTGTCTACACCAACGTTATAGTCCGGTCCAACGGCAGCGTCCTGTGGCTGCCCCCTGCCATCTACAAGAGCGCCTGCAAGATTGAGGTGAAGCATTTTCCCTTCGACCGCCAGAACTGCACCCTCAAGTTCCGCTCCTGGACCTACGACCACACGGAGATAGACATGGTCCTCATGTTGCCCACAGCCAGCATGGATGACTTTACTCCCAGTGGTGAGTGGGACATAGTGGCCCTCCCGGGGCGAAGGACAGTGAACCCACAGGACCCCAGCTACGTGGACGTGACTTACGACTTCATCATCAAGCGCAAGCCGCTGTTCTACACCATCAACCTCATCATCCCCTGCGTGCTCATCACCTCGCTGGCCATCCTCGTCTTCTACCTGCCGTCCGACTGCGGCGAGAAGATGACACTGTGCATCTCCGTGCTGCTGGCGCTCACTGTCTTCCTGCTGCTCATCTCCAAGATCGTGCCGCCCACCTCCCTCGACGTGCCGCTCATCGGGAAGTACCTCATGTTCACCATGGTGCTGGTCACCTTCTCCATCGTCACCAGTGTCTGTGTGCTCAATGTGCATCACCGCTCGCCCAGCACCCACACCATGGTGCCCTGGGTCAAGCGCTGCTTCCTGCACAAGCTGCCCACCTTCCTCTTCATGAAGCGCCCTGGCCCCAACAGCAGCCCAGCCAGATCCCTCCCGCCCAGCAAGTCATGCCTGACCAAGCCCGAGGCCGCCACCACCTCCGCCAGCCCCTCCAACCTCTATGGGAACTCCATGTACTTTGTGAACTCTGCCTCTGCAGCTCCCAAGTCTCCAGCCGGCTCCACCCCGGCGGGTATCCCCAGGAACTTCCAGCTGCGGTCCTCTGGGAGGTTCCAACAGGATGTGCAGGAGGCATTAGAAGGTATCAGCTTCATCGCCCAGCACATGAAGAATGATGATGAAGACCAGAGTGTAAGTTGCTCACCAGCCCCGGCCCACCTGCCCAACAGAAAGGCTCAGATAGTAACACCAGTTTCCACTTCCTGCAGTTAACTCATAGGAGACAAGGACTCTCAAACCCTGAATAAGGAATCCAAAATGGAAATTAGCTTTTATTGAATATTATAGCTTCATGCATCCAGGGAGAGAAAGGAAGTGCCAGTGATCTTTTTTGTTTGCTTTAGGTGTCCCAGGAGCAAACCCTAAGATGGGGACTTGAGGGCAGGTGGCTTATTTGAGATGTGATCCCCGGAAGCACAGTGAGGGAGGAGGGAAGGTGAGACAGGGAAAGGAGAAAAGCCAGAATAGGAGATGAATGAGCAGGATACTGCCGTGGGCACCCAGGACTCCGTATCCTTGCAGACGCTCTGAGGACCAATGGGAACAAGCCTCAGAATCACACCCCTGCAGGGAGGCTGAGGCATTTACCCACCAGCCCCCATTCCGTAAGGACACTAATTCCCCTGCACTTCCAGGTAATGCCAGCCTCCAGAGCAGGCGCCCTTGGTGCTGGAGAAAGTCCTGGGGCAGAGGAGAGAGGAAATGCAGGTGGCAGAAACGGAAGGCTGGGAAGTGACTCTGCAGCCCTTAGGGAACACAAGTGCGCTGGGGTACCAATGCGTCTGCCCCATCCTCTTCAGACTTGCAAAGAAGCCATTCAAGCTCTCACAGCTTTCACGGCTGTAGGAACGTCAGTAAAAATATTATGATTTCCAGGGTGATGAATTAATCAATTGTGCTAACTAGTATTACAGATTTTATTTTATTTTTAATTATTTTGAGACAGAGTTTCTCTCTTGTGGCCCAGGCTGGAGTGCAATGGCACCATCGGCTCACTGTAAACTCCTGCCTCCTGGGTTCAAGTGATTCTCCTGCCTCTGCCTCCTGAGTAGCTGTAATTACTGGCACCCACCACCACGCCTGGCTAATTTTTGTATTTTTAGCAGAGACAGGGTTTCACCACATTGGCCAGGCTAGTCTTGAACTCCTGACCTCAGGTGATCCATCCACCTCGGCCTCCCAAAGTGCTGGGATTACAGGTGTGAGCCACTGTGCTTGACCTAGAATTACAGATATTTTAAAAAGAGATTTAATTTACTTTCACAGAACAAAGTAATGAGTGCTGGAGTCTGGGTATTTCACGTAACTCCTTTGAAAAATAACACTTCCAAGGACAATTTCAGAGTAACAACACAGAATGCGGTGGTGACAGAAATGTTCACACCCATTTCCATGCCAGGCTGGGGAAAAACTTTCATGCTCTTGTGAGTGTTCTCCTATCAACACCTTCAGATTAGATTATTTGGACAGGTTTTGACTACACAACACGGTGTCTTCTCCCATGCAGCTGCATGAGCAAAAGTGGACATCTCGTTCATATCTTTCTGAGATTGCTTTCCACTCCCTGCATCCTCAAGGGGAAGCACCGGCATTCCATTAGTTAGCCCGCAGAGAAAAGAGCAGAAACAGCTCCAGAATCACACTATGCCAAGGAAGGAAGAGAAATGCAGACAAATGGAATATAGGACATGGGATATTCTTCTGGTGTGGTTCTCGGACCAGCAGCACTGGTATCGCCTGTGAGTTATCAGAAATGCAGAGTCTCAGGCCCAGTCCAGACCAGCTGGCTCCAAATCTGCATTTTAACCAGATTCCCGGGAGATTCCCAGACCCATTGTAGTTTGAGAAGTGCAGCTCTGTAGGACTCTCAGATTTCACTTTCTAAAACATTAATTTGATCATGCTATTACTTAGGTTAAAACCATTCCATAGTTCAGCATCACCTAATTTATTGGCTCCCACACATTAACATGCAGCCCGAGGCCGGGCTGGCTAAGTGAGAGCCACGTGGGCGACGCTGTGGGACCACCCTCTGACTGAGCCAGGATCTCTGGGGGAGGCATGTTGGAACTTGCTTTTTTATCCAATCCCAGGTGTCGTGTGCACCTTCTAGGTTGAGAAGCGCTGGTCTCCTGCCCCCCTGGCTGAGCCGGCACCCAACCTGAACTCTCTTCTAAAGACCTCACCACCCCCTTGGCACTCACCTGCCTTCTGCTCTTTCTAGCTCAACTAATTACAGGCCTCTTAAGAGAAGGAGCCAGGTGGGACCACGGTCATTATAAACACCAGCATTGATTAAGCTCCAGCCACACATCAGGTGCTGTGCCTGGAGTGGACACACGTGACTGCCAACCCTCCCTGGAACCCTGTGAAGTGGCTTTTACCAGAACCCCCATTTTACAATAGGGGAAGCTTTCAAAGCAAAGCCCAGAGAGGTTCACTGATCTGGCCAGTGTCACAGAGCTGGCCCAGGGCAGTGCCAGGCTCCATACCCAGATCTGCCTGATATCCTTAAACTCGCTTGCCCTTCTGAGTTTCTTGCCCTGCACTGAGCACAGGGTGGGCTTATTGGTTGATTGGCTTTCTTCCCTTCCAGATCATGCCTGCCTCCAAGGCAGCCCCTGCCACTTCTCATCTTCAGTACTTTCACCCACCCTGGTGATTAACTGGTCACTATAAATAGCACAAAAATATTAAAAGGGAAAAGCACACGGATGCA